TCGCTGCCCGCGCGTGGCGGCTGGCTGGGTTGTAGGTAGCTCTCCCGAGGCAGCCGGCAGCTCCCCGCTTCCGAGGCTCCGGGTGGGGTCCCCTTCCCCCAGCCGGGAAGGGGGCGATTGATCCATCTGTCGATGGGCCGGGCTTACTGGCGTGTTTTAGGCACGGAATTTACAATAAACGCGCAGAAACACCAAAAAGGAAGCGTCAGGCTGGGAAAGGGCTGAAGGAGATGTGAGGTTGCAGACACGTTCCGGCAAGACGGGGTAGGCGGCGGAGGCACACACCCACGCATGCCGGGCACCCCATTTCACGCTCCCTCTGGACACCTCCTTAGCTAGGTTAGCGCTGCCTGCCTCCCTCGGCTCCGGCGCACACATTCCTTCACGCAGCTCCGCGCCCGCCCCGTGTGCGGTGCTAGGGTACGCGCCGTGCCTCATAAACTTTCCGCCCTGCCCAACCTCGGATCTGAGCTCGATCCCAGGTGCCGTTGGCGGTGCCTTTTAAGATGCGTTTTTAAATGAACAAGACTCTAGCGAAGAGCGAGTGCTAGAAACCGATCTGGGCGTGAAGGGAGGGGTCGCTCACAACACCGGCAGCCTTCGCCGGTGGGAAAGCTAGAGGGAGCAACTTCCATCTTGCGGATTGGCTGGCGCGCGGCTTCCCCAGCCTGGGAAGCTCGGGCCGCAGGGCCCCTCCGAACGCCTCTTCTCACCTGGCGCATCCTGGGGCGTCGGCCCTCGCTCTCCTCGCCCCGGGCCATTGACAGGTGTCCTGAAGGCGCGGGCCCAGCCTCTTAGTGTTGGACCTGCCAAGAGGGCTTGGGGAGTGGAGCTGGGGAGAGCCCCGTTCGGGCTGCCCTCCTGTCATTCCTCTCAGGTTCTAGGAAATGAGTTTACATCTGACAGGGTCTCCTGGCTTCTTCCCAAACATTAGGCGACGTAAGGAACCGCCTTCAGAAAATTCAGGAGAGTGTAGGCTAAAGGACTGGGACCCAACAGGAATCACACTGCTGAGTGGTCTCTGACCAGAGGCTGGGAGCCTGTCCTATATGCACTTTCTCCCTCCCCTCCCCTACTTCTGGGACCTTCCGGTGGCCCAGATGTCCTCCTCCACCCCCACATTTTGTAACCCAGGCAGCTCTTCCCTCTTTTAAGGGCCCTCCTCCAAAGTCCAAAGGTACTGCTCAGCACATCCCTCTCCCTCCTCCAAAAATGCTTTTAAATGTCTGTTAACCCTGGCTGGGCACCAGGAGGAAAACCCTCTGAAACATCTGGGAGCTCTGCCCTGTTCCCACCCCTTTCTGGTAAAGGGGCTGAGAAAGCAGCAGGGGACTCCCAGGGGTGGTTCCCACTAATTCCTCCTGGTGAGGCGGT